CTCATGGAGTATTGTTTTCCATCCTTTGACTTTTAGTTTATGAATTCTTTTTTGAATTAAATGTGTTTCTTGTTTGAAGCATATTATTGGGTCTTGCTTGTTGATCCATTCTGCTAGTCTGTGTTTTTTGATTGGTGAGTTGAGACCATTAACATTGAAACTTATAATTGATTTTTATACACTTATACTTATCCTTGTCATGTTATTTTCCCTCTCCCTCTTTTTTTTTCTTCTCCCTCTGTTTATTTTCCTTGCCTGGTGGGTTTCTTCTTTTGGGGTTCATGGAATTGTAGTCCTCATTATCTTTCTCTGTAATGTCCTTTAAAACATTCTGGAGTACTCATTTGGTAATTATAAATTTCCTCAGATGTTCTTTGTCAGGAAAGTATCTTATTTCTCCATCAGTTTTGACAGGTAGTTTTGTGAGATACATCAGTCTGGGTTGAAGGTTTTTTTCCTTTAGAACTTGAAATACTTCACTCAGAGCTCTCCTTTACTTGAGAGTTTGTGCTGAGAAGTTAGCTGTCTCGTAGGCTTTTCTTTGTAGGTGATTTGCTTTTTTTCTGTATCAGCTCTTAAAATCCTATTCCTGGAATCTTGACTCTGATATGCCTGGCTGTAGATGATGATGATGATGGTGATGGTGGTGGTGATGATTGGTCATGGAAAATTGGAGCTCTGTAGGCCTCACTTATCTGTATGTGAAATTATTTTTCTCTTCCAGGGAAGATTTCTGCAATGACATGTGTGGACAACTTTTTAGTATCACTTGTCTTACTGCCTTTTTTGTTGGTTCCAATCAATCTTAATTTATTTTTTGTCTCATCTAGCAGCTGCTGGATTGATTTCTCATGGTCCTTTGCTATCTTTGAGAAATCTTGCTTTTCATGGTTGCTAATTACAAGCCTGTCTTGTAGTTTTGAGATCCTATCCTCACATTGGCTTAATCTGCTGCAAATACTTTCACTGGACCTTTTTTCCCCTGGATATCTGCTTGAATCTGCTTTATGGATTCCATTTCTTTCCTATGCTGAAATTACGTGTCTGTCTTTCTTTCTTTCTTTCTGTCTGCATTTGCTCTAGCATCACTAAGTATGGTCTTTATTTTGGGTACCATCTCTGTAGTTATCTGAGATATTATTTCTGATTTCATTTTTTCCAAATCCTCATTAAATTACTTTACTGTTAAAATATACAGAAAGGCCTAGTGGTAGGCTTTGGGATTATCTCACCTCGTTGTCCCCTGAATTTGCCTTTGATAAACTGGATGTTTGGGGTTGCATTTTGTTTAAATGTCTTCTCCTTTTCTTTCTTTTATTTATAATTTAATTCCTGGGGTAATGCTTGTGAATTGCCTATGATTGGTTGCTTTATTGCTAGTGTTTAAGACCCTTAGGTGATAACTACTTCCCTGAGGTGTCTTCCAGGTATAGCTAGTTTTTGGGTTTTGAGTCTGTTACCAGATCCTACCTCTTCAATTTGCTGGAGATGAGAAGTTGCTGCCTGTTTGGTCCAGACTTTGGTTCTCTGGCACTGTACCAGTATTTTCTATGATCCTTAGTCAATCTCAGTCTTGGAATACCAAGAAGAATAGCTGTTTAGAACAATTTTGTCACTTTTGGGTAAGGTGGTGCCATCATCAATAAAAGTAACATTAGTCACAGCCTAGAGTATAATGAGCTGGTTTAACCACTAGTTTTGCCACCTTTAACCGTCTGAACTAGATTTCTGGTTATATAAAACAGACCAGAAAATTATATGCAGCATATAAGTCCTTAATATATCAGTTTCACCCTCAGAAGTTAAAATTTAAAAGGGGTTAGAGAAAAATAAGTAGAAGAGGAAAAGATCAGAAGTAAGGCTGGAGGACAAAGAGCAATCATGCTAAGTTTGGGAAACTGGTGCAGAAGACTGAAGGGAAGAGAGAAAAAGAAGAACAGAACAGAATAACCACCACAAAGAAGCTAGAAACCAGGGTCATACTCATATAAAAGTAAGATCAAACAATAAGGAGAAAAGAACAAAGACAAAACCACGACCACAGCAACAAAAAACAGATGAGAGAAAGAGAAACAAAGTCCACTTGCAGGTTTGTCTCTGCTGTCCCTGTGAGACACCATGTGGAGAGAGAGTCCCGATCTGTGCGATCTATCCCAGTAAGCCAGCAGGAGCTTTTTGGTGAGAGAGTGGCTAATCTCAGAGAGTGTACACCTTCTAGCCAAGACCAGACTCGTCCAGCCTGCAGCTATCAGCGCACCTTCCTTGTGCTTCAACCCAGCTGGGAGCTGCTAGATGGAGCTGGCAGCAGCTCTGAGTACTGAGCTCAATCCGTCCATCACCAAGATGGCTACCAGCCCGTTGCTGTCTCACACCAGACTGAGCCCTCAGCACTCACTGCCAGCTGGTGCAGTCCTTCATGGTCACTGTTCCCTCCACTGGCGTGTCTCTCCACTGAGGCTTCTGGGGTTGCCGCTGCTGCCACATGTCTACAGGCATGAACTGCTCCTCTTGTGCAGTGAGTCCCATCTCAGGGAGAAAGTGTCACTGGCTACCTCCTCCTTCACTCAAGTTTCTGTCTTCACTCTCTATGTGGACTCCCTACTTTCCTCCTCTTTGTCTTCCTCACATTGTTATATTCCTTGTCTGGACAGCAACACTCAGAGAGACTCTTTCTCTCTGCTGCTTACTGCTTTGCCATCTGAGATCTAACTCTAAGGCTATTTTTTTCTATTTACTGGTTTTAGAACCTTTGTCAAAAGTTAGTTGGCTGTGTGACATTTTATATCTAGATTCTCAATTCTATTCCATTAATCTATATAGTTATTGTGTCATTTTGTTCCTATTGTAAATTCAGTTGTTAGATTTTATTTTTAAATTATTCTTTGCTAACTGACAGAAGCATTAAGTAGTAATTATATATTAATAACTATAATTGTATGTCGGTATTTTATTCTACCATCTTGCTGAACTTACTAGCTTTTTAATCATGATCCTGTTGTCAGCAAATAGAGACAGTTTTGTTTGTTTCTTTACGATCCATATGCCTTTACTTTTTCTTATTTACCTGTTATGGCTAGATCCTCCAGTGCAGTGTTGAATCAATGTGGTAAGAGAAAGTATCTTGGCTTGTGTGTGATGTTAAGAGACAAGCTTTCATTCTAGTAAGCTTAATGTTACAGGAAGTGCTAGCTGATCTTTATGTAACTGTTTTTTTGTTTTGTTTTTGTCTTTTTCCTTTTTATTGGTACCAGGGATCGAACTCACGACTGCCTGCTGCTTGCAAGGCAAGCGCTTATGCCGCTGAGCTAAACCTCCAGCCCCAGTGTAGTTGTTTTTATTAGGTGTGTTTTTAGTTTGAATGGGACACAGTATTTTGCTGAATGCTTTTTTCTTTGTGTTAAGATGATCATATGTCTTTATCTTTTGTTGATACTGCATATTACATTCTATTGATAGTGACATATGAGTTTCCAATACAATATTTTTAACCAATTTAATTGATTGGGTTATAGATGTTAAGCCAATTTAGCAATCTTTGGCTAAATCAAGGCGATAATTCTAAAGTGAGTGTGTGTGCCTGTGTGTGCTTTAACCATCTAAATGAAGAAGGAAGACCTTTCAGGTAGAGGAAACACAAGAGGAAGCAAACAAAGCAAGGCCTTGAAATAGCTATAGGATTTGAGAGCAGAGACCCGAGAAACTGACCGAGGCCAAATTGTTAAATTTTTGGATTTTATCCTAAAGGCCGAGGAGGCCACTGTATGTAAATAGGAGAGATTCAATTCAGTCTTAGAAAGGGCATCTTGGCAGTAGTGTGGTGGCTTCTTGTGTATTTCTTCAGGGAAAAGCTGATTGTAACAGTCCAGGTGTGACATCATGAGCATCTCTTTCTCGATTCTCTCGGCCTCATCAGTTTAGACTCATTCAATTCAAGAAAATTCAGTTTGAATTGTCTTAAGACAGAAATGGGTTTTCTGGTCTTGCATAAATGAAAAGATTGTGTCAAAATTGGCTTCCAGTGTGTTTTGATCCAGAGATTCACAGTCTCAGGGCTTCGGCTTCACTTTCTGTCTTTTTCACTTCTGGGTTCCTTCTCAAGTTGGCACTATTCTCTGGCTGCTTTCTCAGGGTAGCAGCAATGTTTACAACAGTTCAAAATGTTAGCTCCCCACGTTCTGTTGTTCACCCAAAGAGGATCTCTTTCATTTAAGCCCTCCTCCTTTCTCATCCCTACTCCACTCTCACCATGTCCCTTTGTTTTAATGGCTTGAATTAAGTTACTCATGGTTCTGTGGGATAGAAAAGGTGTGCCTGTAACTCACTGTGGAGTTGTGAGTCGTTCCCATGGGAGAAAATGAGTTTTGGAGCATGGAGTGTTATCAGTATTGGCTTGGAGAGAATAATTTATAACAAAAATAAAAAGTGAGGGAGGCAAAAGCATTGTGACTTATTTTCAGCCTTAGGTGCATCCATAGGTGGTGATGTCTTTTAGTAAAATAGGAAAGAAGGAAAAGTGGATTAAAGAAGAAAGACCATGAATGAGTTCAGAAATATGAAGACTAGTATTAGGTGCCTGTCTTATAAACATTTCCAGGTCCTTCATCTAGTGCTTATATACATAGTTGCAAGTATCAACTAAAGGCTAAAAAGTTGTGCTTTTATTGGAAGGGGCTTTTAGAACTGCACATAACAGCAAATATAAGACAGCAGGGGCTAGGGATACAGCTCAGCAGCAAAGCACCCAAGCACCTGCCTGGCAAGCACAAAGTTGTGAATCTGATGTCCAGTACAAAAAAATAAAAAAAAAAAAAAAAGGAAGAAAGAAAAGAAAAGAAAAAAAAAAAAGACAGCTCATGAAGTAACCATCTATTGTTCCTCCCCATGCTCCTTTTAAAAAAATCTGCATTTAATGCTTCCTAAGGAATGTTTTAGATTTTTAGTATTTTATTTGCTCATTTTACAGTAGTATATTAGAATTCTAAGTGTTGCGTTTTTAATAGAAACTGCTGTCCTGAGGCACCTCGGCCTGTGCCCAGCCGTGCCTAGCCATCGGCGTGCAGAGGAGGAGCTGGGTGGAGCCGGAGTGCCTGCAGAAGCCCCTTCCTTTGTCTGGAGGAGTGAATATTTCTGCAAGCAGGGAGGGATCCCAGGTTCCTGAGGCACCTCGGCCTGTGGTGAGTGGCCAGCACAGTCTGCCCAAATCTCAGACTGTTCCGGACCCCCCAGGCTTCTGGGTGCAGTGAAGTGGAGCAGTGGGTTAGACGCCACTACTGCCGCCTCCCCATCCCGGCTACACCTGGAGGTCTGTGGAGCTCACCGGGTGGGCGGGCCTACACTACCCCCCCCCCCCCAGCCCAGCCGCGCCTAGCCATCTGCCTGCAGAGGAGGAGCTGGGCGGATCCGGAGTGCCCGCAGAAGGCCCTTCCTTTGTCTGGAGGACTGTGGATATCTCTGCAAGCAGGGAGGGATCACAGGCTCCTGAGGCACTGCGGCCTGTGGTGAGTACCCTAACCCGGCTGCGATTCAAGAGCTGTGGATCTACCAAGGGGCAGGTGGGCGCACAGTGTCCCTGAGGCCCAGCTTGTCTGGAACCACAGAGTTCTGAACAAGCAGAGGAGGGCCATTGGTTCTGCAGGCCCAATGGCCTGGGGTAGAGTGGTGCCAGAGTCTCAGTAGCTGCAAACATAGAAGGGGATTTTCAACAGATCCTGAGGAGGCTTTCAAATAACACTTGAAACACAGAAATATAGGAAAATGACAAAACGAAAGACCAAATTACAACCTCAAACCTCCAGCCCATCTCAGGAAACCCTAGGAGGAATGTATTTAGAAGAAAATATATCCCATCCTCCTCATATATCAGACACAATAGCTACTGAAGTTGACAAGCAACTCCAGGAAGCTTTAAAGAAATTCAAACTCGAAATAATATCCCAGATAAAAGAAGAAATGATAAAAGAAATGAAAGAGATTCTAAATATATCTAAAGAAAACACAGATAAAAAATTGGAGGAACTAAACAAAAAGATAGAATCCCTAGATGAGCAATATAAGAAACAAACAGAATACATAATGCAGATGCACAGAGATATACAGGAAATAAAAAACTCCACTGAAAGTTGTAAAAACCACCTTAATGAAAGTGAAGATAGAATTTCAGACCTTGAAGACAGGATTGCAGCTAGTGAACAGGAAAGGAAAGATCTTTTAAAAATAACAAGGAATCAGGAAACAACAATTCAACAACTGCAAGATGATGCAAAGAAGACTAACATAAGAATGATAGGGATTAATGAAAAAGAAGGAGACAACATAAAGGATATCAAGAGGATATTTAGAGAAGCAATAGCTGAAAACTTCCCAAGCATGAGATCAGAAACTGACATCAGGATCAGTGAAGCATATAGAACTCCAAATAGTCATAACCAAAATAAAACTACACCCAGACATATAATAATCACCATCCCAGAAATCCAACACAAGAATAGATTATTAAAAGCTGTCAGAGAGAAAAGACAGATCACTTATAAAGGAAAACCTATCAGAATCACAGCAGACTTCTCATCACAAACAATAAAGTCAAGAAGAGCATGGAGTGAAGTATTCCAGATCCTAAAGCAAAATGATTTCCAACCTAGACTGATATATCCTGCAAAACTATCATTTAAAATAGATGGTGAAATACGATACTTCCATGACAAAGAACAGCTGAAGAACTTCATGAACACCAAACCAACCCTGCAAAAAATATTGAAAGACAGTTTAGATACACAAAGAAAAAACCACTAAGCAAAGCAAATAATTAAACAGAACAGAAAGATAAAGATGCAACAGCAGAGAGATAAGATTCCTACAATTAACCAACATTTAACAGTAATAACCATTAATGTAAATGGTCTCAATGCACCAACCAAAAGAAACAGACTAGCAGAATGGATCAAGAAACAAAATCCAACCATATGCTGTTTACAGGAAACCCATCTAACCCAGAAGGATACTCACAGACTGAAAGTCAAAGGATGGAAAACAATTCTTCATGCAGCAGGAATCCAAAAAAAGGCAGGAGTAGCCATTCTGTTTGCAGACAACGTGAACTTTAAACCAACAATGACCATAAAGGATAAAGAAGGTCACTACATATTCGTAAGGGGAAAACTCCAAGAGGAAGAGATAACTATCTTAAATATATACACACCAAACTCCAGAGCGCCCAGTTATATAAAACAATTATTAACAGAAATGAAAACTCAAATTATCAGTAACACAATTGTAACAGGAGACCTTAATACACCATTGACACCAAGGGACAGATCGACCAAACAGAAAATGAGTAAAGAAATAACAGAACTGAATCATACTTGTGAACAAATGGGTTTGATAGACATATACAGAATGTTCCACCCAACAACATCAGAATACACATTCTTCTCAGCAGTACATGGATCATTTTCTAAAATAGACCATATATTAGCTCACAGAACATATTTAAACAAGTGCAAAAGAGCTGAAATCATCCCTTGCATGTTATCGGATCACAGCGCTCTGAAATTAGAAATTAACAATAAAAGATACTGCAAAAATCCCACAAACACATGGAAACTGAATAACACACTCTTGAGTAATCAGTGGGTCACAGAAGAAATTAAAGAAGAAATCAAACAATACCTAAAAGAAAATGAAAATGCAGATACAACTTACCGGAATCTGTGGGATGCAATGAAAGCCGTCCTGAGAGGAAAATTTATTGCACTGAGTTCCCACATCAGGAAAACAGAACGAATACAAATAAATAACTTGATGCTACACCTCAAACAGCTAGAAAAAGAAGAGCAAGTCAAGCCCAAAGCCAAAAGAAGAGTAGAAATTATAAAAATCAGAGCAGAAATCAATGCAATAGAGACTAAGAAAACAATCCAAAGGATCAACAAATCAAAGAGTTCGTTCTTTGAAAGAATAAATAAAATCGATAAGCCCCTAGCCAACCTTATTAAAAAAAGGGAAGAAAAAGCTCAAATTCATGCAATAAGAAATGAAAAAGGAGAAGTCACTACAGACCCAATAGAAATACAGAAGATCATCAACACCTATTTCGAAAACCTCTACTCTCAAAAGTTTGATAACACAGAAGAAATAGACAGATTCTTAGAAGCATATGAAGTGCCAAAGCTAGATCAAGAGGATGTAAAATTGTTGAATAACCCAATCTCGGTTACTGAAATTGAAAATGTAATTAAGTCCTTACCCACCAAGAAGAGCCCAGGCCCTGATGGATTCACTGCAGAATTCTACAAGAAATGCAAAGAAGACCTAATGCCGACACTCCTCAAACTATTCAATGAAATTGAAAGGGAAGCAATCCTTCCTAAGTCATTCTTGGAAGCAAATATCACTCTAGTACCAAAACCTGAGAAAGACCCAACTAAAAAAGAGAACTATAGACCAATCTCCCTAATGAACACAGATGCAAAAATCCTCAATAAAATATTGGCAAATAGGATCCAGCAAATCATCAAGAAGATTATGCACCATGACCAAGTGGGATTCATCCCAGGAATGCAAGGATGGTTCAACATACGCAAATCAATAAATGTAATCCACCATATCAATAAAGCCAAAAATAAGAATCACATGATCATTTCTATTGATGCAGAAAAAGCCTTCGATATGGTCCAACATTTATTCATGATAAAAACTCTACAGAAAATTGGAATAGATGGTCTTTACCTCAATATAATAAAGGCCATTTATGACAAACCAACAGCCAGCATCATACTAAATGGCCAAAAATTGAAAGCCTTTACTTTAAAATCAGGCACAAGACAAGGATGTCCTTTATCACCACTCCTATTTAATATAGTACTGGAAGTACTAGCCAGAGCAATTAGGCAAGAGAGAGAAATAAAAGGGGTAAAGATAGGAAAAGAAGAAGTTAAGTTGTCATTATTTGCAGATGACATGATACTCTACATAGAAGACCCCCTAAGCTCCATTGAAAGACTCTTAGATACAATAAATAAATTCAGTAATGTGGCTGGATACAAAATCAATACTCAGAAATCAATAGCATTCCTATACACAAACAACAAAATCACAGAGAGGGAAATAAGGGAAACTGGACTATTCACATTAGCAAGCAAAAAAATGAAATATTTAGGAATTACTCTTACGAAAGAAGTGAAAGACTTATACAGTGAAAACTATAATACACTGAAAAAGGAAATTGAAGATGATCTCAGAAAATGGAAAGACATCCCTTGCTCATGGATAGGAAGAACAAACATTGTGAAGATGGCCATTCTCCCAAAACTCTTATACAGATTCAATGCAATCCCAATAGAAATACCATCAACATACCTTATAGATCTAGAGAAATCACTCCTAAATTTCATCTGGAACCAGAAGAGACCTAGAATCGCAAAAGCAATTCTAAGCAGCAAAGACAAAGCAGGAGGCATCACAATCCCTGACTTGAAATTATACTACAAAGCAACAGTAGTAAAATCAACATGGTATTGGAATCAAAACAGAGCTGAAGATCAATGGAACAGATTAGAAGATACAACCACAACTGCAAACACACTCAACCACCTTATCTTTGATAAAGGAGCCAAGCAGGTTCACTGGAAGAACGACAGTCTCTTTAATAAATGGTGCTGGAAAAACTGGCTCTCCATTTGCCGAAAACTAAAGCTAGACCCATGTCTATCACCATGTACTAAATTAAAATCTAAATGGGTCAAAGATCTGAATATTAAAACAGAAACGCTAAATCTATTGGAAGACAAATTGGGTAGAAACCTTGGAGACATAGGAGTAGGTAGAGAATTCATGAACAGGATTCAAACCGCACGGGAAATACTTCCCAGAATCAATAACTGGGACCACTTCTTATTAAAAAGTTTCTGCATGTCAAAAGAAATCTCCAGCATAGTGAAAAGAAAACCCACAAACTGGGAAAAGATTTTAGTGAACTCTCTCTCAGACAAGGGACTCTTGTCTGAAACATATAAAGAATTAAAAAAACTCAGACCTCCAAAATTCAAAGATCCAATCCAAAAATGGGCATCTGAGATGAATACGCAATTCTCAGATGAAGAAATGCAAGTGGCAAATAAATACATGAAAAAATGCTCATCATCATTGGTCATTAGAGAAATGCAAATTAAAACCACACTGAGATACCATCTCACTCCTGAAAGAATGGCCAGGATCAAGAAAACCAACAACAACAAATGCTGGAGAGGCTGTGGGGAAAAAGGAACTCTCCTGCACTGTTGGTGGGAGTGTAGACTGGTACAGCCTTTGTGGAGGTCTGTCTGGAGGTTTCTCAAAAAGTTGGGACTGGAAATCCCATTTATTCCAGCTATTCCACTTCTAGGCATATTCCCAGAAGAACTGAAAGCATCATACCACAGGGATATATGTGCACCTATGTTTATAGCAGCACAATTTGTAATCGCCAGATCTTGGAAACAACCCAAGTGTCCATCAACTGAGGAATGGATACAAAAGTTGTGGTATTTCTATACAATGGAGTATTATTCAGCTATAAAGAAGGATCGCATTGAGATATTTATCAATAAATGGGCGCAGCTTGAGACCATACTCATAAGTGAAATAAATCAATCTCGCATGTATGAATACCGAATAGTTTCCCTAATGTAAGTAATGATTCAAATTTATAAAAATATGTGACAATCATGATTCCCCATTATGTGGCCTTCAAGCCTTATAAAATTTTCACTTATTAATTAGAAAGGCTTTATTCTGGGCTTCTCGATATGGAAATATTTGAAGCTATAGTATATGAAGTTTTATCCAAATATTTTAAGGAAAAAGACAGACACTATGGTAACTACTATTCTTTAAAAAAATTATTTAGCTATTTCTTATGTTTATTTTAATTAAGGGAAAAATTTAAAAAATTAGGATATATAATAGTAACTCTTTTCGATCTCCTATTAAATTGTTTTGAAGTCCTGTAATACTCCCAAGATCTTGTTTTGACTGATTAGACTCTGTTCCATTCTGTGCGATAGTAGCAAGTCGGAGGGTATAGGCAACTAATTTGAAGGCAATAAGATTCACAAAGATGCCCATTATGGTTTGACTATTGTCTCCTTTGGAAGTCCTGTAATGTTCACAATGCCTAAGTTTTATTGGTCTTGTTCTCCACTGTTTTGTCCAACTTTATAATATCTAATGAGATAGACAATTCCTTTTAAGGAAACAAGAGACAACGTTGATAACCATTGTTAATAACCTTGTACTCTGTTCTACACCATGTGCTATGTGTATGCTTGGTTTTGACTTACAGCTTTGTTTTGCCATATTTGACTTTATTCTCTCCCCCCCCCAAAAAAAAGTAATAAGAACTAAGGAGTAATAAAATCCAAAATGTGTAAATTTTGTTGTAAAAAAGAGAGGGAGGAAAAAAAAAGAGCTCTAACGGATATAACAGCAAGTGTGTTTAGGGGTGTTAAATAGCTGACTATATTAATGTTTTTGGATCATTGAACACAGCTGTTTGAAGTCTCTCTGTTTGAATGTCTACTTTGTATTCTTTGATACTGTGATTTGAGCAACTATTTCCAAGATGATAATATGTAATCTATTAACAGGTGATTTCTTACTGTTATGTTTTTTTTTTTGTAGTTCTGTATTATGTGTAACCTTACACTGCTTTGTTTTGTTTTGTGTTTTTCTCTTTTTCCTCTTAAATAAAAAAAAAAAAAAGAAACTGCTTATCTATGTTTTGTCCATTTTGTGCTGTCCAGCTGATATTTTTTGAAGCAAATATAGGGCTTCATAGGTTTCTGTTGTATATCTGTTTAAATTTGGCCCAGAATTCTAGTTTGTTAGAATTGTTTTATAGCATTTGTTGTTCTGTTCAGTGTCTTTGTTTACTATTACTCTCACCTCTTATGTCATTCTTTATTTGAAACAAAAACTTCATATTAAATGGCATTTTCAAACATAAAAGCAGAAAAACAGTAAAATGAATTCATATCACCTTGTTTTACTCTTATGATCAATGTGTCTTTCTAATAGATCATTCAGATTTTTGAAAATGTTTCAGTTACTTGAAATTGCTTTTTGAATCACATTAATCTGTTCCTTTTACAAGTGAAAGGTAAAGACATATTCACTAGAAAGGTCAACTTAACTGGTTATTTCTGGATCATGAAATTATGAGTCGTTACTATTTTTTACATGTTTCTATACTTCAATTTTTCATAGGTATAGATTTCTTTTATAATAAAAAATACATACTATCTCTTCCTTCCCACATCTATGGCATTCCTAATATGGAGGATCTTTTTTAGAATCTATTGAAGAGCTACAACTACTCAGTTCTGTATAGTTTGGAGATGCCCCCACCTCTGTTTCTACTGAATTTATCACTCCTTGGAACTTACTCTGTTCCTGTAGGATTGTTGGTTGTTTTCTATTTATTCCAGAATTCGTCCCTATTGATATAAAATATGAAAGCAAAACAAAAATGAAGAAGTTTTGCTCTCTCAGGATTACATTTTATTGAGATAGGTTGGCTTTTTGCTTACTACAAATTCCCCTTTTGCTGTTACTGGCATTTTTGTAAATCCTTATTTTGAACTTTGGTGTCTTGGTGTAACTTTTCCCAGTGTTGCCACTCCTTTTTGTTAATTGCTTCAGGGTGTGTGTGTGTGTGTGTGTGTGTGTCTGTGTACATGTTCATCTTTTCCTGTCTTTTTTTAACTGAGAGCCTTGTGCATGCTAGAAAAGCACTCTACCACTGAGCTACAGCTACCATTCTCTTTATTTTTATTTTGAAACACGGTCTCGTTAAGTTACTGAGGCTACCCTGGAACTTGTATCCTCCAGCTTCAGTCTCTGGAGGAGCTGAGATTGCAGGCACCACACCTGGCCTTTTCTGTCCTCTTATAAGGATATCTGTACATCTTTTTTTCTCCTGTCTTTTATGTGCACTTGAGAATTTTTGAAATGACTAATCAAAAATGGGTTATAAGAGCTTTCTCCTTAGAGTTATATACCATGGAGTGGGTATGTCTGTCTTCAAATTCCTCAACTCTGTTTCCCTAAACCTGTACCATACAGCTCCTACTTCGTTGCTACAAACTAAGATGGCATGGTGTGATTTTCCTGAAGTCCTTTTATTTCACCAACTAACCCCTTCTTCGGTCATATTAGAAGTTCCTTGGCTCACCTTCTATACCTGTCATCACAGGCGTAAAAATATGAACACACTAGGTTAATAACTTGTCACTTCTCCACTTTTAGCTGAATAAGACTTCAAATAGGTGCCAGAGTAATTGAGTCTTATAAGATGACAGTATGCTGCTTTTACTTTATAGTTGGTTTCATGAGATGCTGTCCACCACCTGCACTGGACTGGGAGCCTTTGCCCATTGTCACATGTGTAAGTAAATGTCCTGCTGACACTGTTTGTCTGTGTTTTCCACTGAGTACTTCACATTGAATTCTTACAGAGTTCCTTACCTGCCCCGTCCCATTGGCCTTTTTCTCCTGAATTAGCTGAGATGTTTTAACCATTTTTTCCTCAAGTGAGTCCTTCTTCACTGAGTCTTAATATCTCAGAGCTATGAAGATACATACACATTTGCATATATGTATGCATGTATGACATATGCATAAATAATTCTCTGTTATTTGACATTAGCTCCTTTTATGTGTTGATATATATTTACCTGAGAACAAATATTTTATTTTGGTTCCTTGATCTTTCTTTCTTCAGAAACATCAGATGCATATTCTGAAGGCATGTCCAAAAGAGAGAGATTAGGAAATTATTTTAGTTTTAGAGGGTCACTTTCCTGTTTATATTTATGAAAATGAACAGAAAATAATGCAGTCAATTTGAGAACAGAGACTTTGTGTAAATTAGGTATTTTGTTAGGTTAAGAAACATGGGTTGGTGCACACCTGTAGTCTTAGCAGTTGGGAAGCCGAAGCAGGAGGATCGTTGCAAGTTCAAAACCAGCCTGGGCTACAAAGTGAGCTCAAGGCCAGTCTAAACTGCACAATGAAACCCTGACTGAAAGAGAAAGAAAAAAGAAAAAATGTATGGGTAAATGACTGTGGAGCACTTTGATCAGTTATCCTTATTGGCAATTTCACAACTAGAAATTGCAAAATGGAAAACCGGCAGGATAATGAAGTTTTTTAAAAAACTATTTTTAGCACTACACGTGACTGGGCTAGCTCTTGAGGTCAGCAGACAATACAATTCTTCCAGACCAGTTCAAAGAGTGAAGCATGCAAGACCCAGAGCATACCCCATGGCGAAACCAAACATAATTAAAACACTGGACCTTTATTGAAGAACTTTGTAGTTTGTTTTGTCCTCCAGCTAGAGACCACCAGGAGCACACTGGTAGTTGAACAAATTTGGTTTATTGCTTGTTATAGCAAGAAAGCATGCACACCATTGGGAATCATAAGGAATCTCAGTAAAGCAGTTTGGGAAAATGCATAGAATTTGGTCTCGTTCGGTGATTTTGAAAGTTTGAAGCATTCTTACAGATTGGATATCAGGAAATGGGCTAAATTCTATGATTGGGTATCTTAAGAGAGTTTGTCATAAGTGAGGGCAGAATAAAGAAAGGATAGTGCTAGAGCTGTATTTGACAGAGAAGCAGCATCACTCACACTATCCAGCACTGGATTTTGTCTTTTGTTTTGTTATATGCTATTTTGCGGCTTGGATAATTTTCATATTTCATCTGTATTCAGTCCAGTTATAAGGTGATCTTATTTTGTCATGATCCATCATGGACACAAGAATGGCCTTCTCTGCTGTTGTTCTGAAATTGCTAGAGAGCACCAAGACCTAGAAGTGCATGCCAAGCTACCTCGTGACAAGTACCAGCAGTTAGTTTTAGTGCCAGGACAGCCCTTGGATCTCAGAGGCTCCTTTTCTTGATTTCAGATATGGTTTATAGGTTTCAGTCAGCACCAAATAGAAAGGGTACTTAGTAGATGTTACCTGTTTCTGTTTCCTAGTCCATTCAAGTAAAGGCTATAAAACATGCAAATAGAACTTTGGACTAAGGTCAAATGGAGTAAGTGCAATTAGAGAGGTTCAAGAAGTATGTCTTAAGGGCACGAAGTGTCATGAGGATATGCTTCTAATGGTGGGGGCAATATTTGCCCTTGAAGGACAGGTTGGATTTAGATATGTGGAGTTGGAGAGAAAAGCAAGCCTGCTGAATATGAGTACATGCTTAGGTTTAGGATTGAGACAGCACAAGCAAGCTTAGAGCACAGTGAAGAGTTTAGTTCGAGTTAGTGGTATGAGATGAGAAAGCAGTGTAAAAAGTTACTTTGGAGTTAGATTATGGGGTCCATTTATTAGGAATAGAGCCTGGAGGGGAAGCCATAATTTATGAAATATCTACAGTGTGTTCTAGGTGCCTTGTATATATGAACTGATTTAATTTATAGTTTTTGTAACAACTCTGAAAAATAATCTACCCTGTCTTAGTTATTTTTTGTTGGTCACTGAAAAAAAAATACCTGATGCCCAAAGTTGGGAATGAAAGATGTATTTTTTTACAGTTTTTGGAGGTTTTAGTCTATACTTAGTTGGCTCCAAGGCAGGGTGGCATGGTGGGACCGCAATTTATGGTGGCTGCAAACAGCAAGCAGAAACCCACAAGAGAAAGAAACTCACCTTTTTCCTGCCATTACATTGTATGTTGGCTCCACCCCTAGGTGTGTGTAGCACTGACATCAATCTAAGAGCTAGACAATGAACCAGTCACAAATACACAGTGCAAACACATGAGGCCTGGGAGCCACCGACATAAACCATGACATACCCATTTTACTGATGTTGAAAGCACAACCAGGACTATAACGAATAGCTAACTAAAAAGATGGCATTCATTCTACTTTCCTCTGCTGCCCCCATCCTTCTGTATCACAAGATGAATGACTGGTGAAAACCATGAAAAATCTTTGATCAAAGAAGTGACAAGGTCAGTTAGAATTGTGCTTTGGAAAGATTACTCTGGTAATAAAACAGTGCTAGATGTGCACAGAGTGTATGAACCAGGCCCTATGTAAGCAACTTAAGATACATTATCTCCTTTAGTAATACAGTGCATTGGCCAAGTTGTTTGGGAGGAGGCTGATAGAAAATGAAAAAAAGATGTGGTTAAGTTAGCAGAAAACATCAAACCAGTAGACAGCAAATTAAGTTACTTAGAAGGTGAGTGTGAGGAGATAGGACCCTTGGAGGAGAGTGGTGAGGAGGCAGCAGGCAGAGCTGTTGTCGTGGCCTCCACTGTAAGTAATGCTGGGTTAAGTATGCCCCGTACGGCTTCTCAGTGTTTAGGGAGAAGCTTCTATATATTAAGAAACTGGCCCATTAAGACCTTTTCTGAACTGTGGTAATCAGAAATATAAACATCTCCAGTTCTTTATTGATTTATTTGCTCCATTAAGACATTTCTTGAACTGCAGTAATCAGAAATATAAACACATCCAGTTCTTTATTGATTTATTTGGTCTAGGAATGAAATGCTACAGATGGCTTAATGTTGCTTTCAGAAAGCTCTTTTGTTAATTGTGCCAGAGTGCTTTTGTTTTTAGCAAGGGGTGGTTATTAACAAAGGAAAGTAGAGCATTACTTTGTAAAGTTCAGTCAGTTTTTGGTCAAGCTTAAATGGTGTGCTAAATAAAATATTAATAAGAAAACCTCAGTATTGGTATAGCTGTCAATAAACAGGATTTAGTCAAGTTCCATTTTATATACTATTTAAATACATATAGAGGTAGTCACATAGATACTTCTACATTGGAAATTGTGCAGATTTTAATGTTCTTGTGTCTTTACTTTTTATCCCTTTTTAAAAAAGCCAATCTTAGAAAAACTAGCAAATCCTGTCCATAATATAGATGTAAGTAAACTATTATAAGGAGTAATTGAAGATAATTTAAATGTACATCAACTAGATGACGAGTAAATAAATTGTGAGATGATCATATAATGAGATATACTATGTAACACTTTAAATGAATGAATAAACTGCGTTATCAGCAGGGATAGATACATTTCTGGGCCAAAGTATTGATCCTCAGGGAAACAAAAAGGTAAGAAACAGAAGTTACAGAAGCATGAGTACAGCATGATACCATGATATGAAGTTTTTAAAATACTGTGGTAGACCATACATAACAAAATTTACTATTTAAGTATTTTTAGGTATACAGGTCAGTGAGTCTGTTCTTATTATTGTAAACCATCACACTCTTTATTCATAATCAAAAGTTTCAAAATGGCAAAGACAATGTTGTATATTGTTCATGTTAAAGTCCACAAGCACGTACTCTAATGTAGTCATGTGCTGTATGAGGACATTTCAGTCACTGACCATATATGTACAGTGGTTGCCTCATAAGATTATATCGCATAGTGATACTACAGCTATTTTACTTTGGGAAGGTGCACTGTATGATATTCACATGATAGCAAAATTGTCTACCAGTACATTTTCTCACAATGTATTCTCATCCTAAATGACACAGAACTGTAATGAGTGCCAGAGTCAGAGTTACGTCTATCTGTGAGTGTAGGTAGTAATATATAAGACTTCAGTGAAATCTGGGTGGTAAGCAATGCAGGTGCTGATATATTATCTTGTATATGCTTGTATAACTGACATATTTTATAGTTTATAATTTTGCTTTAAAATAATTTTAAGGAGACAGTTCCAAATGTTGTATTATTGATTTTTTTTTCTTTTTTTGGTCTTTTTCCTTTTTATCGGTACCGGGGATTGAACTCACGACTGCCTGCTTGCAAGGCAGGTGCTCATGCCGCTGAGCTAAATTCCCAGCCCCTTATTATTGATTTTTAAAATATTCCAGGCTGTTTAGTTCTAAGAAAAATGATAGTACCAAGATCTAATAGGTGAGTTTACTCCCTGTTGATGCTAGTTAATTTTATGGAGAAATCTGTTCCATTTTCTGACCCCAGCCTACAGTTTTAAATATACTTTTGGTTATAGATTGTAGAGGGTGTAGTTCTCAAGCTTGAAGGTCTAACAGAATGAATCTACAAAGAAACAAAACACAAGACAAAAACAGGTTTTTGGAAGCGGAGAATTTTTCATTTTTATGTTAAAGAGACTAGACATAAAAAGACAGTTACACTAATTGAAGTGAGAGATAAAAGAGTGTGGGGGAAAACTCAGAACTGAAACTATGCATTTTGAAAATTATAATGGCATCTTAGTTACTTCTTGTTGCTGAGATAAAATACCCAACATCTGAAGTTAAAGGAGTAAAGGTTTATTTGGATTCACAATTTGTAGAAGTTT